GTGAAGTAGAGAGTCTGTAGACCGTCAACTAAGCTCAACTTGTGTTTCACTTTATTTGGATAGTCCAAAAGTGTGTCTACAGATAGTTACTAGAATGACAACAAATATGCTGTTAAATTGTAACTGATATGCAGTTGAGATGCTGCTGATAGTCTCCTGATTGTTTGTTGATGATCTATAGATGGGCTTGGCATTTGTGCAAGTGAGGGGACATACTGTTGCAATTTTACTGACATGCTACAGATATGCTGCTTGTAGTCTACAGATAGTTTGTTGAAGATCTGTAGATGGACTACAGACACTGTCTTGGTGAAAGTCAACAGACATGCAGTTGACATGTTACTGATACACTATTAGAAAAGAAGGTGCTATCTAGAACCTAAAAGGGTTATTCGGCTGTCCCCATAGGAGAATCCCATGTAGAGGTTCTACATGGAACCCAAAAGGGTTCTACCTGAAATCAAAAAGGGTTATGCTATGAGGACAGCCGAAGAACCCTTTTGGAAACCTTTTTTCTAAGAGTGTAGTCTATAGATAGACTGTAGAGCATCTACTGATGGACTATCCAAATAAAGTGTTACCGATGGTGCCACTCGCTAAATTAACCAAACAGAATTCATATTCACAGCACAGAGATATATACACACAGATATATACACACACGCATATGCTCATTGGCATGCACAGGGAAACACACACAGGGAAACAAAAACACACACCAAAACAACTTGGGAGAAGAGAGAAAGAAATGAGATTTTGATCATGATGCTAGTCATGAAGCCATTGTCTTATTGTGTCATTGTCCAGGCCTTGTCACACTAAGCCTCAAAGATATTCATGAGCTAAGTCCCCACTCTGGGAGAGTAGGGTGCTGTGGCAACCAATTCGGCTCTCGTTCCTGTCCACAAGTCACATGTCTGTTTCCCCACTGCAGAGTCACTGTGCAGACAATCTGCTCTCAAGGCGAAACGCAGCTCATCCAAGTCTCCACTCGCTCCCCTCATCTCTTCCCCTCTTCTCCTCAGTCAATGCCTCGTGGTGGTATTGATTAAAGCGGTGTCTTTTCGTCTCCTGCCAGCGTATTTCCACAGACCACTACGATCTAAAAGGAAACAGCCACAGGGAGAAAGGGAAGGAGGGATGAACTTGGAGAGAGAGGGGGAGTGGAGATTTCTGGGTTACAGCACCACCATACTCTCTCACAGAAATGTAGAACTCCCCCAGTGATGCACAACTTCCAAGCCATGGTTGTCATGTACAGTACAGTACACACAACAACCTTCCTCCATTCTTTGCCTCCCTCCTCCTCCTTTCCTCCTTTTCCACCCATCCTGCTACCTCTTCCGCTGCTCCCTCTTTCCTGCCTACCACATTGAGGGAGTTTCGGGGGTCCTGTGAGGCGCGGCCGGCCTGTCTGCCTTGTGCCTTTGGTAAAACAGCGCTTCGCTAGAGTCAATAGCGCCACATCTGTAACAATAAAACAGGTTAATGTGGGAGCCCATCTCAGTGGACCAGAGCTCACATCTCAGGGAACATCTGGAGAGACATTTGGAACAGCCAGCAGGCAGTCATATAGCTTTCTCTGCTCTCTCTTTCTCTCTCCTAAGAGAACCCCCTTCTCTCTCTCTCTCCAAAAGTCGACCTCTCCCTGTTTCTCTTTCCATTTCAGTTCCCCATTCTTTCTCTCTCCATCTCTCGCTCCCTCTCCCTCTCCCCCTCCATCTCTAATCTTTCTTCACCCCCCTCCATCCATCCTCCCTAAATCCCAATAAAAGGGCCTTCCCCAAAGCGGACGTAATGTGGCATTGTAAATAAGCGTCTTATACATTGTGCAGACAGGAGTTAGTGCTGATGTTGCACCGAAGTACAGCTGTGAAAAAAGACAGGGCACAGACCAATAAAACACAGCAATCAACAAGTTGAAATATTCCGTTGATCAGTGTAGGGTTGCATGTGATGATGCTACCCGGCAGTCCAACGCAATTAGCCTGGATTATACCTCATTCCCTGTTCCCATTCTCATTTAATAAATGTAGTAAAAAATTTAAGAAACAGATCCGCTATATCTGAAATAGAAAATAAGGAATTTAGAATCCAAAGAGATATCACTGAAGGTTTAGGGTACACACTAATAGCCTTATATTACAGATTCGCATCAGACACAAAAAATATGTAAACACTGCCTAATACAAACACACACACACACGCATACAGCCATTGCTTCCTCCAGAGAGCGGTCATTTGTGACCCTGTTTTGGTAATGGCACATCGCATAGTAAAACGAAGGGTTGGGGAATTAGCTTCCCTGTTGACTTGTTCAACTCTCCCCTGTGCCTCTAACATATTCAGTGTATTCTGAAGGCCTGAGGCGAGGATGGTTAGGCTGTGGAGAAACCAACTAACCCAGACACGTGCCAATGTGCAGGAGTCCAGATGCTTTCTGTTTTGGAATGCTGATACCATTAGTTATGTCCCTTGGCATTCTCCTGGGGTTTTGGCGCTAGCTTTTAGCTAGATGCCTCAGGGCAAATGCCATTAGATTGAACATTCCAGGCTGTGGAGTCAGTACATGATGCTAGAAAATATAAAGCCCAGTTACCATGCTAATAATGATAAGAGAATACCACTAGGACCAGCACTATTTGACCATACTATCATCAGCAATAAAACATAATAATCGTCATATTCTATTTTTGATGTGTCACATCAGTTTCTTACTTTTTCCACTTTTTTAAATCAATCCGATATGTTTTTTTTCCCCCACTGTTTGGAGCTATGAAGATTCACTTTGAAGCGTTGACATGCTCTTAGAACGACAGAAGGGGGAAGAGACAGAAAAATCTGGAAGTGCATCACATAGCCCTCAAATCACCATGCAGGAAGTGGTGTGTGTACAATTTGTTTGCCCCGTTTCCTTGGGCGGGATATTCTGAATGAGAGGATAGAGGGAAAGATGGGACGAGAGAAAGAGAGACGTCTGTGGTGATGGAAGTATGGAATTGAAAATATGGAGAAAAAAGAATAGATTAGTTCCCGCAATAGGGGAAGCGGAATAGGGGAAGCGGAATTCAAAATAGACTGAAATAGAAGACTCGGAAAACCATTTGAGGTGAAAGACTCTGTCCTCACATCTGGGATTCATGATGAAAACAGTCCTTGATATTGTTCCACTTAGATTGTGTTCATGATGATAGGCTTTGGACATCCTGTACAACTTCATTCAAATGGTGTTGCCCATGAAAAATGCTTGGGCTGGACCTTGTCCATAACCACAGATCCAGGATTCAGAACCAGATTGCTGCAGAGGAGCCAATACTAATGTTAATCATCAAGGGGGTGTAAAGATCTGACCCTGTATCAGTGGTTACGGAGTTCAAAGGATGAGCCAATGGGGGAACACATTCTATGGGATATAAGTGGCTAGAGACCAGACGCTAGAGATCAGAAAATGTCTTCACAAAAAGTGACCTTGGCCAAGTTCAGGTAACATTTTACTTGAATGAAGACACTTCACTGTGATAAATACAGTGAGCTACAAAAGTATTGGGACAAATTCACTTATCTGTGCATTAAAGTAGTAAAAAGTTAAGTATTTTGTCCCATATTCACAGCATGCAATGAATACATCAAGCTTGTGACGCTACAAATTTGTTGGATGCATTTGCTGTTTGTTTTGGTTGTGTTTCAGGCTTTATCAAGGCTCTGATTGGTGAACCAATGGCCAATTCATAAATCAAATCAAATCAAATCAAATTGTATTTGTCACATGCCCCGAATACAACAGGTGTAGACCTTACAGTGAAATGCTTACTTACAAGCCCTTAACCAACAATGCAGTTTTAAGAAACTACCCCCCCCAAAAAAATCACAAAATAAAATACAATATAAAATAATACGAAATAAAAGTAACAAATAATTAAAGAGCAGCAGTAAAAATAACAATAGCGAGGCTATATACAGGCGGTACCGGTACCGAGTCAATGTGCGGGGGCACCGGTTAGTCGAGGTAATTGAGGTAATATGTACATGTAGGTATAGTTATTAAAGTGACTATGCATAGACAATAAACAGAGAGTAGCAGCAGCGAAAAAGAGGGGGAGTGGGGGCAATGCAAATAGTCTGGGTAGCCATTTGATTAGATGTTCAGGAGTCTTATGGCTTGGGAAGCTGTTTAGAAGCCTATTGGACCTAGACTTGACGCTCCAGTACCGCTTGCCGTGTGGTAGCAGAGAGAACAGTCTATGACTAGGGTGGCTGGAGTCTTTGACAATTTTTAGGGCCTTCCTCTGACAACGCCTGGTATAGAGGTCCTGGATGGCAGGAAGCTTTGCCCGTACTGGGCCGTACGCACTACCCTCTGTAGTGCCTTGCGGTCAGAGTCTGAGCAGTTGCCATACCAGGCAGTGATGCAACCAGTCAGGATGCTCTCGATGGTACAGCTGTAGAACCTTTTGAGGATCTGAGGACCCATGCCAAATATTTTCCGTCTCCTTAGGGGGAATAGGTTTTGTCGTGCCCTCTTCACGACTGTCTTGGTGTGCTTGGACCATGTTAGTTTGTTGGTGATGTGGACACCAAGGAACTTGAAGCTCTCAACCTGCTCCACTACAGCCCCGTCAATGAGAATGGGGGCGTGCTCGGTCCTCTTCTTTTCCCTGTAGTCCACAATCATCTCCTTTGTCTTGAGCTCTGTTTGTTGGCAAGGTTGTGGACACACACAATGCTTTTAACATGCAATGTTTTCAACTTACATATTTTACACACTTTGACATACATAGTGTTGTAGACTAAACGTGTTTTACTCGCCTGAGTTACAATATTCTACACTGCCATTAATTTTTCTCAAATTCTAATTAATTGTGTGTTTGGTGTAGGCTTACCTTGGCCTGACGGTTTGAGAGCCGTGTAATTCTCTCTCGGACAAGTTGAGAATTCCCTATCAAGAAGAGAGACACGAAAGGCCAGCTAGCTTAGCTAGCCTAGCTAGGCTGTAGCCTCAAATGGAGAACAATAACAAACGTTTTCAATGCTGCAGGAGCTGTGTTTATTTTGTTCTATTCCGGGACAATGTGGACCGCCCAGACTTTCAATGTTGCAACTGTTTGCTTGCACAGGACTACAGTGGCGAAGTGGCTACTCTTAGCAAACAAGTAGCGAACCTACACAAGCTACTGGGGAATCGAAGCCTGCCTACTTTTTCTTTCTCTTCTACCCCAGTAGCCAGATGCCACTCTGGCCTGGTGGAAGTGTCACCGCCGTGTCGGCTCTACACAGCCGACTGGCCGGTGCTCTACAGGGATCCCTCCCTGAATGGGTCTCCCCCTTTCCTGGAGAATGGAGTTAGTAGATTGCTTCTGGATGACTTGGTGGATGCTCCTGTTCCCGATCCTACCAACCAGCCATGGAGATACAGTGGGGAGAACAAGTATTTGTTACACTGCCGATTTTGCAGGTTTTCCTATTTACAAAGCATGTAGAGGTCTGTAATTTTTATCAAAGGTACACTTCAACTGTGAGAGACGGAATCTAAAACAAAAATCCAGAAAATCGCATTGTATGATTTTTAAGTAATTAATTTGCATTTTATTGCATGACATAAGTATTTGATCACCTACCAACCAGTAAGAATTCCGGCTCTCACAGACCTGTTCGTTTTTCTTTAAGAAGCCCTACTGTTCTCCACTCATTACCTGTATTAACTGCACCTGTTTGAACTCGTTACCTGTATAAAAGACACCTGTCCACACACTCAATCAAACAGACTCCAACCTCTACACAATGGCCAAGACCAGAGAGCTGTGTAAGGACATCAGGGATAAAATTGTAGACCTGCACAAGGCTGGGATGGGCTACAGGACAATAGGCAAGCAGCTTGGTGAGAAGGCAACAACTGTTGGCGCAATTATTAGAACAACAACCTCCTTCCCTCAGTAAGAGCATTGAAGATGGGTCGTGGCTGGGTCTTCCAGCATGACAACGACCCAAAACACACAGCCAGGGCAACTAAGGAGTGGCGCCGTAAGAAGAATCTCAAGGTCCTGGAATGGCCTAGCCAGTCTCCAGACCTGAACCCAATAGAAAATCTTTGGATGGAGCTGAAAGTCCGTATTGCCCAGCGACAGCCCCGAAACCTGAAGGATCTGGAGAAGGTCTGTATGGAGGAGTGGGCCAAAATCCCTGCTGCAGTGTGTAAAAACCTGGTCAAGACCTACAGGAAATGTATGATCTCTGTAATTGCAAACAAAGGTTTCTGTACCAAATATTAAGTTCTGGTTTTCTGATGTATCAAATACTTATGTCATGCAATAAAATGCAAATTAATTACTTAAAAACCATACAATGTGATTTTCTGGATTTTTGTTTTAGATTATGTCTCTAACAGTTGAAGTGTACCTATGATAAAAATTACAGACCTCTACATGCTTTGTAAGTAGGAAAACCTGCAAAATCAGCAGTGTATCAAATACTTGTTCTCCCCACTGTATGTCACTCACCGTGGAAGTTGAAAACAGCGACCTCTGGCAATGGGGGCCTCCTTGGTGACACAGACTAGAAACAGATTTAACGCCCTGGATCTAGAGGTTCCGGCGCCTTCGAGATCGGATCGGGAGGTACCTGAGCCTTCATCCTCTGTTTTGTCTCCCTCTCCGGTGGCTTCTACCTTGGGTTCAGATCCTCAGAGCTCCCCCTTCATCGGACTGTGAGGGTGTCTGAGACTCCGGCCGCTTCATCATCCACAATGGATTCTACAGCTGGCTCAGTTCCTTCGGGCCCCACCGCCAACGTCCTGACCTCCTCAGCCATTGCACCAGCTGTCGTCACCGGCAGCTCTATGGTGAGAAACATCTTGGGTTCCCGGGTCAAAAACTGGTGCTATCCTGGAGCACGAGTACAGGACATTACAAGGCTACTTCCGACCATTCTACGACAGCTGTCGGGAGCTGACGCTGTCGTAGTCCATTTACATTTAAATCATTTAGCAGATGCTCTTATCCAGAGTGACTTACAAATTGGTGCAGTCAACTTATGATAGCCAGTGGGACAACCACCTTGTTTTTTTCTATTTTTTTTATGGGGGGTGGGGGAAGAAGGATTACTTTATACTATTCCAGGTATTTCTTAAAGAGGTAGGGTTTCAAGTGTCTCCGGAAGGTGGTCAGTGACTCCGCTGTCCTGGCGTCGTGGGGGAGCTTGTTCCACCATTGGGGTGCCAGAGAAGCGAATAGCTTTGACTGGGCTGAGCGGGAACTGTGCTTCCGTAGAGGTAGGGAAGCTAGCAGGCCAGAGGTGGATGAACGTAGTGCCCTCGTTTGGGTGTAGGGTCTGATCAGAGCCTGAAGGTAAGGAGGTGCCGTTCCCCTCACGGCTCAGTAGGCAAGCACCATGGTCTTGTAGTAGATGCAAGCCTCAACTGGAAGCCATTGGAGTGTGCGGAGGAGCGGGGTGACATGAAAGAACTTGGGAAGGTTGAACACCAGACGGGCTGCAGCGTTCTGGATAAGTTGAAGGCGTTTAATGGCACAGGCAGGGAGCCCAGCCAACAGCGAGTTGCAGTAATCCAGATGGGAGATGACAAGTGCCTGGATTAGGACCTGTGCCGCTTTCTGTGTAAGGTAGGGTCGTACTCTGCGAATGTTGTAGAGCATGAACCTGCAGGATCGGGTCACCGATTTGATGTTAGCGGAGAACGACAGGGTATTGTCCAGGGTCACGCCAAGGTTCTTTGCACTCAATGGAGTTGTCAACCGTGATGGCGAGATCATGGAGCGGGAAGTCCTTCCTCGGGAGGAAGAGCAGCTCCATCTTGCCGAGGTTCAGCTTGAGGTGGTGATCTGACATCCACACTGATATGTCTGCCAGACATGCAGAGATGTGATTCGCCTCCTGGTTATCAGAAGGGGGAAAGGAGAAGATTAATTGTGTGTCGTCTGCATAGCAATGATAGGAGAGACCATGTGAGGATATGACAGAGCCAAGTAACTTGTTGATAGAGAGAATAGGAGAGGGCCTAGAACTGAGCCCTGGGCGACACCAGTGGTGAGAGCATGTGGTGCGGAGACAGATTCTCGCCACACCACCTGGTAGGAGCGACCTGTCAGGTAGGACGCAATCCAAGAGTGAGCAGGGCCGGAGATGCCCAACTCAGAGAGGGTGGAGAGGAGGATCTGATGGTTCACAATATCAAAGGCAGCGGATAGGTCTAGAAGAATAAGAACAGAGGAGAGAGAGTTAGCTTTACCAGTGTGGAGAGCCTCCGTGACACAGAGAAGAGCAGTCTCAGTTGAATGACTAGTCTTGAAACCTGACTGGTTTGGATCAAGAAGGTCATTCTGAGAGAGATAGCAGGAGAGTTGGCTAGAGACGGCACACTCAAGAGTTTTGGAGAGAAAAGAAAGAAGGGATACTGGTCTGTAGTTGTTGACATCGGAGGGATCGAGTGTAGGTTTTTTGAGGAGGGGTGCTACTCTCGCTCTCTTGAAGACGGAAGGGACATGGCCAGCGGTCAAGGATGAGTTGATGAGCGAGGTGAGGTAAGGGAGAAGGTCTCCAGAAATGGTCTGGAGAAGAGAGGAGGGGATAGGGTCAAGCGGGCAGGTTGTTGGGCGGCCGTCACAAGTCGCGAGATTTAATTTGGAGAATGAGGGGAGAAAGCCAAAGCATATGGTAGGGCAGTGTGAGCAGGACCAGCGGTGTCATTTGACTTAATAAATGAGGATCGGATGTCATCAACCTTCTTTTCAAAATGGTTGACAAAGTCATCCACAGAGAGGGATGAGGGAGGGGGAAGAGGAGAGGGATTCAGCAGGGAGGAGAAGGTGGCAAAGAGCTTCCTAGGGTTAGAGGCAGAGGCTTGAAATTTAGAGTGGTAGAACGTGGCTTTAGCAGTGGAAACAGAGGAAGAGAATGTAGAGAGGAGGGAGTGAAAAGATGACAGGTCCGCAGGGAGTCTAGTTTTCCTCCATTTCCGCTCGGCTGCCCGGAGCCCTCTTCTGTGAGCTCGCAATGAGTCGTCAAGCCACGGAGCAGGAGGGGAGGACCGAGCCGGCCAGGAGGATAGGGGACATAGAGAGTCAAACGATGCAGAAAGGGAGGAGAGGAGGGTTGAGGAGGCAGAATCAGGAGATCGGAGGGAGAAGGATTTAGCAGAGGGAAGAGATGATAGTATGGAAGAGAAGAGAGTAGCGGGAGAGAGAGAGCGAAGGTTGCGACGGCACATTACCATCGGAGTAGGGGCAGAGTGAGTAGTGTTGGAGGAGAGCGAGAGAGAAAAGGATACAAAGTAGTGGTCGGAGACTTGGAGGGTAATTGCAGTGAGATTAGTAGAAGAACAGCATCTAGTAAAGATGAGGTCAAGCGTATTGTCTGCCTTGTGAGTAGAGGGGGACGGTGAGAGGGTGAGGTCAAAAGAGGAAAGGAGTGGAAAGAAGGAGGCAGAGAGAAATGAGTCAAAGGCAGATGTAGGGAGGTTAAAGTCACCCAGAACTGTGAGGGGTGAGCAATCCTCAGGAAAGGAACTTATCAAGGCGTCAAGCTCATTGATGAACTCTCCAAGGGAACCTGGAGGGCAACAAATGACAAGGATGTTAAGCTTGAATGGGCTAGTGACTGTGACAGCATGGAATTCAAATGAGGAGATAGACAGATGGGTCAGGGGAAAAAGAGAGAATGTCCACTTGGGAGAGATGAGGATTCCTGTTCCACCGCCGCGCTGACCAGATACTCTCGGTGTATGCGAGAACACATGGTCAGACGAGGAAAGAGCAGTAGGAGTAGCAGTGTTTTGTGTGGTAATCCATGTTTCCGTCAGCGCCAAGAAGTCGAGGGACTGGAGGGTAGCATAGGCTGAGATGAACTCTGCCTTGTTGGCCGCAGAACGGTAGTTCCAGAGGCTGCCGGAGAACTGGAACTCCACGTGGGTCGTGCGCGCAGGGACCACCAGATTAGAGTGGCAGCAGTCACGCGGTGTGAAGCGTTTATATGTCCTGTGCAGAGAGGAGAGAACAGGGATAGACAGACACATAGTTGACAGGCTACAGAAAAAGGCTACAATAATGCAAAGGAGATCGGAATGAAATGAACTAAACATCTGGGAAAGCAAGAGAGCGGGGCCTCCCTCACTTACGTTTCACTGAAACACTCAAATATAACTCTCCCAAATTCCACTTTAGAAATTATAATTGTTGTAAACTACAGCGGTAGTAGGAATAGACTCTAACTTAGTTTATTCAGCTAGCTAACTTGGTACAGTATTCTTCCATGAAAACCGTCCAGGGCACCGAATCCTATGACGCCATAGCCAACTAGCATGCCAGCCTCCAATAACACGGTTTAGCACCAGTACTCGGTTACAGCAAACCAGTGTGTTAACACGCCAAACATATCATCCGTGTCCGTGTCTAACGTTGTGTAAAGTTTTGGGTTAGTTTTCACAGTTTGAGTGAGTACGTCGTCAACTTATTCAGCCAGTTAGTTAGCATACTAGCTAGCCATTGCTCTCTGCCAACGAACCACCCCTCCTCCAACGGCACGAAACACACAGAGAGAGCCAAGCTGTGGGGTCAAACATCATTAGGAGGGCTAGATCATAACTGCTGAATAGGGTTTTTGCGGTGACCGTATTACCGCCACACCGGCAGTCATGAATCATTTCCATGTGACCGTTGAGTCACGGTAATCTCCTTTTATGCACTCTGGACATGCTTTGGTACTACCCGACTTGCTAACGACCATCAGGTCCTAATGACCTGGTACTCAGGGCTCTATTGTCCCTCTAACCACTCTGACATCAATGCAAATGCAATCGAAAATCACATCAAACACATATCATCAAAACAGTAGACCTATAGTACTTTTAAAACTCACCTCACTGTGATGATCAATTTGTAGAAAGAAGTTCAACAGCAGGTTGAAACAGTGTAAAACATGGTTGTTGTGGATGTTGTTTCAAATCCTAACACAACGAAATGGACAGTGATTTCAAAGGTGATGATTCATTTATGCACATGCATAGGCTTATGAGCCCAAGCCCAAAAAAATTAACCTGAATTAAAATGATGATTGTGCCGTTACACAATACATAGCCTACCGCATATTACGCATGGCAGAAAAACATAAAACAAAACTGATTTAAGATGTCTTTGGTACATAATTGGTCTAGCCTATACTACTGTATTATTATACATACTGGATGGTCTGGTTACCTTATGCTCCCAAATTTCTATCCATGAGTCTGGGAGAGTATGTATAGCTCTAGGCGATGCTGTTGGTTCATTGATTGTGCAGGGCGGCATACAGTTAGCCTACAATTAGTGCATTTGTATTTGATTTTGAATAGCCTAGTAATAGGGCATTTTTTATATTTTCATAATTAATTGGGTGACATATTACCTTTAGCTATACAGAATATCTCACCACCATGCGTTTCCATCTCCTCCTTTCTCTACTTTATTCCTTTCTCGAGCACACAGACAGGTTGTCAACAGTTTAGTGAAATATATTTAGTTGTGAAAACATGTTACTATCGATGTTCCTGAACAGATTTCACTTGCTTTCCCATATTAAAGACTGGGTGTCTGCAGGAACAAGGTTGGAGAGCCCATGGCATACAGAGTTTGGGTGGAATATCACCTGTCGGGGCAGCGAGAGCATGCTCCTTAAACAGTGGTTGATGCGTGGAGTGAAATGTGTTCTCATATTTACTTCT